AGCAGTTCCAGTACTTTTTGGGGTTGTTCAGATGATACAAAGCACCCAGCTCTAGAATTGGGACCACGGCTATTACATCATCTCAAGTAATTGATATCGCATCCCCACAGAGTCTCCGGGAGCCTCCAACCTGAAAATTTCTCGAATGGACAAGACAGCTGGCTCCGTGCGGGGTGGAGATGAGGTTTATCTGCTTTGTGACAAAGTGCAGAAAGGTGAGGCTGGAGCCCAGGCTGGGAGCTAGGGACACTGGGTGTCAAGCTTGGGGACCCGGACAGCCTCAGGACAAATGGCCCTGGAGATTCTACTAGGAGCTGTGGCCAAACTTCAATTTTCTCTGTAGATGACATTGAGGTTCGGTTTTACGAGGATGATGAGAATGGATGGCAGGCCTTTGGGGACTTCTCTCCCACAGATGTTCATAAACAGGTATCCTAGGGCCGGGGCTGGGCCTGGGCCTGGGTCTGGGCCTGGGCCTGAACTAGGCCAAGGCCTCAGTGACATCTTATGCCCTCCTTTCCTCCAGTATGCCATTGTGTTCCGGACACCTCCCTATCACAAAATGAAGATTGATCGTCCTGTAACAGTTTTCCTGCAACTGAAACGCAAGCGTGGGGGGGATGTCTCTGACTCCAAACAGTTCACCTATTACCCTCTGGTGGAAGGTGGAGCTGGGCTGAAGATCCCAGGGGGGCTGGAGGGTAGGGGCTGGGTTGGAGGGTCCCAAGAACTAGAACAGGGGACCCATTAGTCAAATCAGGAGTAGGGAAGGTCCCAGGAAGAGGTGGTCCTAGGAGACTGCCTGAGGGCTTTTGGGGGAAAGGCCATTACCAAACGTGGAACCGGGCTCTGGAGGTCTTAGTGGGGGTGGGGTGAGTTGGGGTTTTAACATCTCATTTCCCTCTGTTCCCAGACAAAGAGGAGGTGCAACGGAAGCGGAGGAAAGCCTTGCCCACCTTCTCCCAGCCCTTTGGGGGTGGCTCCCACATGGGTGGAGGCTCTGGGGGCTCGGCTGGAGGTTATGGAGGAGCTGGAGGAGGAGGTGAGGGGGTACTGGTGGCAGCAAGGGGGACGGAGGGGAGAGAGGAATAAAGGGGAGGAAAGTTGTGGGGGAAGAAATCTGGGAGAGCCCTTCTGGTGCCCTCTCCCAACAGTCCTGCCTGTATCCACAGGTGGCAGCCTCGGCTTTTTCCCCTCCTCCTTGGCCTATAGCCCCTACCAGTCCGGTGCGGCCCCCATGGGCTGCTATCCGGGAGGCGGGGGCGGAGCGCAGATGGCCGCCGGGGCGCCTAGCGTGGGTGCTGGGGAGGAAGCAGCAGAGCCGGGCGACCCCTCTGGCAGCCCCCAGCGCGAACAGCAGGCCCCAGAGCTGCTGCAGCGAGGTATGGCCTCGGGAATCCGGGTCGTCGGGAAGCTGGGAGTGTAGCCGGCGCCCACACCCACGCCCCCTGTCGCCTCCAGCCCAAGAATACAACGCGCGCCTGTTCGGCCTGGCGCAGCGCAGCGCCCGAGCCTTGCTCGACTACGGCGTCACGGCGGACGCGCGTGCGCTGCTGGCGGGACAGCGCCACCTGCTGACGGCGCAGGACGAGAACGGAGACACGTAGGTGGACGGGAGGGGGTGCGGTCCCGAGCTCGGCGCCCTTGACAGGGGTGTGGGGCGGGAAAAGGACCTGTAAAGAAAAGAGCCAGGGCCCCGGCGTTGGACAGACTCGGTTTCAAGTCCAGCCTCGCCATGCAGTAGTTCTGTTCAAGATACTTAATCTCTGCAGACTTCAGTTTTGTTGGCTGTTACAGAGGCAGAGTAATAGTACGTACTTACCCCAAAAGGTGCTCAGAAGGATTAAGTTCTGGTGCAGTGATGCCCTTGGAGATGTCTGGGCTGGACAGGGCCCAGCGAGGAAGATTATGGAGGTGGTGGGGTTTTGAGGGTAGAGGATGCTCTGAGTGGCTGGGCTTGCTAAGCCAGAGTCTCACTCCCCAACCCCAGGCCGCTGCACTTGGCCATTATCCACGGGCAAACCAGCGTCATTGAGCAGATAGCGCACGTCATCTACCACGCCCGGCACCTCGGCGTTGTTAACCTCACCAACCACCTGCACCAGGTGAGCGGCATCTACTGGTGAGGGGGGTAGGGGTTAGAAGTCAGGTGAGTCTAGGCCAGGAGCAGGCCTGGCTCACTCTGCGTGCCTCCCCAGACGCCCCTGCACCTGGCAGTGATAACGGGGCAGACGAGTGTGGTGAGCTTCCTACTGCAAGTGGGCGCAGATCCATCACTGCTGGATCGTCATGGAGATTCAGCAGTACATCTGGCGCTCCGTACAGGTGCCAGCACCCCCAACCTGCTGCGTACCCTGCTTCAGAGTGGGGTTCCCACCATGCCCCAACTGTTGCACATGCCAGACTTCGAAGGTGAGCTCATCACCTCATCTAGTCCAGCAGGCAAGGGTGGTGGGGACCAGGGAGGGTACTGGTGAGTTCCTAAAGTGGACATGAGGTGTCGAGGTCAGCTGGTCAAGGGACCACATTGGGGGCACAGCTGCAGGCTGAGTATCCTGTGTCACTAGGGCTGTACCCAGTACACCTGGCGGTCCGTGCCCGAAGCCCCGAGTGCCTGGATCTGCTGGTGGACAGCGGGGCTGACATGGAGGCTGCAGAGCGGCAGGGGGGCAGAACAGCCCTGCATCTAGCCACTGAGATGGAGGAGCTGGGGTTGGTCACCCATCTGGTCACCAAGGTGGGACTGAGGATTGTGGAAGGCATGGGGCCAAGGGTTGTAGGACCAAGGATGGTAAAGTTGTAGGGTGAGGGGCAGCCAATCAGTCTGTGCTGTGATCAACCACCCCCTTGCACCCCACAGCTCCGTGCCAACGTGAATGCCCGCACCTTTGCGGGAAACACACCCCTACACCTGGCAGCTGGATTAGGCTCCCCGACCCTCACCCGCCTCCTCCTGAAGGCTGGTCAGTCTCACCCTCAGGGGCATATGGGGGTTGGCAGAAGGAAAAGGGATGCCTCCCAGTCCCCCAACTTTGCAGTCCTTAATGTGGGCTCCTATTGTACCTCCCTATGACTACCTCCCTCTCCCAGGTGCTGACATCCACGCAGAGAACGAGGAGCCTCTATGCCCACTGCCTTCGCCCCCAACCTCTGGTAGTGACTCAGATTCCGAGGGCCCTGAGAGGGACACCCGAGGCAGCTTCCGGGGCCACACACCTCTTGACCTCACTCGCAGCAGCAAGGTACGGCCAGCCTGGGAATAGAAATACCAGGGAATGGAGCAGCTGGGCTTATAGATGGGGTCCTGAGTATCTGGTACCTGCGCTTAAGGACTGCATTGGTGGGTAGTCAAGGCTGAGGCTGTCTCCCCAGGTGAAGACCTTGCTGCTAAATGCTGCTCAGGACACCACGGCGCCCCCGCTGACCCCGCCTAGCCCTGCAGGTGAGCTCTCCCCACCCACTGCCAGACCCCAGAACCCAGACCCCTGCTTATAGAGGTCTCTTCTTCTCCAGGGCCACTGAAGGAGGTCTCCCTTTCTCATCCCCGTCCTCTGTAAATTGCCCCATTGGCCCCGCCTGCCTTGTCTGTCAGGTTACCAGGGGAGAAAGGTGGTATCCCGGTGTCTGTGCTTGATATGTTTATGTTTGTGTCCCCCTCAGGGCCAGAGCTGCCACTCGAGGATACGGTCCTACAGAACCTGGAGCATCTGCTAGATGGGCCAGGAGCCCAGGGCAGCTGGGCAGCGCTGGCAGAACGGCTGGGGCTGCGCAGTCTGGTGGACACGTATCGAAAGACGGCCTCACCCAGCGGCAGCCTCCTGCGCAGTTACAAGGTCAGTCGTTCCCTATCCTGTGCTCCACGCCCCAGCTTCCCTTCCCCATTCTCAGATCCCTGGTGCTTCATTGGCTCCAGGGCTCCTGACCCCACACCCTAATGATAACTCAGGTCTCATGCCTTTCTTTTCCTTCTCCTCAGTTGGCCGGTGGGGACTTGGCGGGCCTGCTGGATGCCCTGTCTGACATGGGCCTGGAGGAGGAAGTGAGGCTGCTGAGGGGTCCTGAGACCCGAGAAAAGCTGCCCAGTACAGGTAAAGGGATCCGGTCCTACCCGGAAGGTGGATCTGGGCCTGGAGGGTAGGAGGCCTAAGGCCTTGATTCTTCCCTATGCCCATCCCCATGTCCACTTCCCCAGCAGAGGTGAAGGAGGACAGTGCTTACGGGAGCCAGTCGGTGGAACAGGAAGCAGAGAAGCTGGGCCCACCTCCTGAGCCACCAGGAGGGCTCTGCCATGGGCACCCCCAGCCTCAGGTGCACTGATGCCACCCACCCACCAGCCCTTTTTCTGGGCCCCTCTGTACAGTGTCCCTGCCTATTCCAGTTCTTATTTAACACCCCACGCCCATCCCTCAGTTGGGGCAAATAAAAGATTCTCATGGGAAAAGGAGGGGGCCTGGCCCCTCTCTAACTTAAAGCAGCTCCTATTGTGACTCTTATCCCCTGGAACCAAATGCCTACTCTCAGGCCTCAGGCCAGTCACTTGAGAGAGAAGGAGGCCCAGCCAGCAAGTCTAGAGCAGTTTTAATGGAGGTGGAGGCTGTACAAAGGGCAGGGCCCACTGAAGGAGGGAAAGCGAGACCATGCTGCCCCTGGCCTGTGCACGGGCCTCGGCATGGACACCTTTCCTCCACCTCTGGAAAGAGAGAGGGTGAGTCCTCAGGGAAGAGGGAGGGAAACCAGCTCAGCCCCAACTCCTGGACTCTGAGCCAGGCCCCAGGATGGAGGGGGATTGCTGGTGTCAGGGGTGGGGGTGGTCTCAGCAGAAAGCAGAAACGTCAGGTCTCCCCCACAAAAGAAAAAAAAAGCATCAAAAGTCCAGGGGCCCTGGCCCCTCCCACCCCAGCCCCTGTAAGAAAAAGTGCAAAACATTATCACAAAAAGGGGATCTCAGAGGGGCCTTTAGCCTAAGGCTCCTGA